ATTTAGTACCGTCAAACGGGGCTAATAGGAATCGAGGGGTGAATGCAGATAAAATTGGGATTGAAATGTTCGTATTAATAACTATGAAAATCTACTAGCCATAGCCTATAAAATGGGAAAGATGTATAGAAGAATAGTTATTTTTTGAACCGGCAACACTTATTTGACATGAAAATAGAAATAAATTGGGTAATTTGGTAATTCTGTACTATAATTTTTCAAGTCACAGACACAGCCCATTGAGTTTTTCGTCGGATTTCTCAGTGGGTCGCGTTTCCGATCCAGTAGTAGACTCTGCGAAGCACTGCTCTTGCTAGGGCTAGTGTTAGCAACGTCGTCAGGTTAGAGTCCTGTGAGCTCACCTACTTCTACCTTCTGCGAATTCAGTATAACACCTTGAGGTTACTAGAATAGATTTAAAAAAAAAAACTATACTTTTTCTTTCGACATACGCGATTCCTAGACACAATTAAACCTTAGCACATTTTTTTTTCTTTTTTCTATTGCTTACATGTGTGGACGAGCTCACAGCCCACCTGGTGTTAAGTGGTTACTGGAGCCCATAGGCATCTACAACGTAAAAACACCACCCACCTTGAGTTCAGTTCAGTCTCAGTATAGTTACAACGGCTGCCCCACCCTTCAAGCCGAAACACATTACTGCTTCACGGCAGAAATAGGCGTGGTCGATGAAATGTCAATGAAACTATAATACGTTTAGCTCTAAGTCGATTTATTGTATGATACGACTATCACATGTGTGAATATACGCCGCAAATAACCGGAGGCAACAAGAATTTCCCGCGCACACGATAAATTCGTTAGCGTACACCAGTGATTCTCAACCTTTTTTTTTGTTGCGGCACATATTTAACGATTTCAAAATTTGGCGGCACACAAAAAAAAAAGATAAAAATAATTATTTACTTATTACAACACACTGCATAAATAGTTTATCAAAAAATTTTAATAAACGAAATAAACTAAAATATACTATAATTTTTGGAGTTTACTCCTTTAGAATCGATTTACATATATAGGCCCGGGGTATGAAAATTATGGGGACCAAAATCGTACTAGCATGTCACACGAAATGCGTTATGCGCCTGATTGGCTCCTGATTGCGTGATGCGTGCGCGCGCCAATCAAAATCGTACTAGCATGTCACACGAAATGCGTTATGCGCCTGATTGGCTCCTGATTGCGTGATGCGTGCGCGCGCCAATCAGGAGCCAACGCGCGGCCGCGTTATCGCAGGTGACGCCGGGCTGCTGCGCCGGCAGTCCGCCACAAAGCCTCGTACTGATCGCGCGTTTCTCTCATTATTGTATTTTCATATATTTGTTAGTCGTTTGTTTTGTGTCTCGTTAATTTGTTAATAATCTGTAGTGTATCGTGTTGTCGTAATATAGAACTATTTCTCGTATTGTTTCGTTTAATTTTTTATATCCAGTAAACTCCAGTCGTGCGTCGGAGCGGACACACACACTTTTTTTATTTTTTTGTGGATTTCAATATAATAATATATTCATGTTTAAAATATTTTTCTTTTAAAATGATATAATTTAATAATATTAACATTATTATATATTCGCAAAATTTGGCGGCACACTTTTGAAATTTGGCGGCACACAAAAGTGCCGCGGAACAGTGGTTGAGAATCACTGGCGTACATGATACGCTTAATTTCCCAATTATTTAGAGAGTTATTTCGGGAGTGGTTATTAGCTATTAAGGAATCTGATGATGTTAATATAACTTCATTGTTTGGGGTAAATACAGAATGTTTATAAAAAAACCTACCTACTGGTTATATAAATTAAGATATTTGTAATTTTACAAGAAATTCATAATGTTAGATCGTCTTCAAAATTTGTTTACCTAACACGATTGATGGCAATTCACATACATACTACTTTAATTATATTATACGTATACCGGAACAAATGTTGATTTTTATTATATTACATCAAACAAAATATTTATTTATACAGGGTGTCCCAAAACTCAACGATAACCTGGTACCGGGCGAGAGGCCAAGGTATACCAGCTATGAAAAAAACAAGAAAAAAAATCTATGTCACTTAGTCAAGCGATGATAGACATTTTTCGAAAAAGTTAAAAATTTGACACCCTTGGTCGCATTTTTAGGTACTGTGATCGCAATTTTCACAATTGTGTGTGACTAAGTGACATAGATTTTTTTTCTTATTTTTTTTCATAACTGGTATACCTTGGCCTCTCGCCCGGTACCAGGTTATCGTTGAGTTTTGGGACACCCTGTATAGATTTAACTAGATCGTTTGAACTCGTCTGAACTGACCTTTTCAGTTTATTGTTTTTTTTTAATTCCTCCAAAAAAGAAAATAATTTCACAGCTAAATTCGTATTAGTTGGAGTTGCCATTGATTTTAAGACAAATCTCAAATCTATTGTGTAGTTCACACTTTTAAGTTATTTTTAAACGAAACATTATTTGTTTGCGAGCCGTACGCTTTAGATCTCTTAAATGCAGTGGCCTCCATAGTGATGTCCATGGGCTCCGACAACCACATCACATCAAGTGGAGAAAAACAAAAGCTCTTTCCCCGTCGAACTTCGGTCGTCCGATGCCACACGAAAGCTTCAAACACTCCAAACCTTCATTACACATTTCAGTCCACTTTAGCTACTGAATTTTATATGAAAGGTTCAGAATATTTATATTCAGAGCTCCTCAAAGACTATACAATTAGTAAGGCGAACGTCGACGGTAATTAAATATTGTTATGTCTCATTAAAAAAATAATGAGTCGAGAAATAAAAGCAATTTTACGGATAATTAAAACTGTTTTTACGGTTTAGCCTGTGCTAAATATGGCGTCAGCAAGCATTCAAATGCTGACGGATTAATCGACGGCTACGAAGACTTTAAAGTGTAAGAAAGGACGTAAATTTTAAAGTGTAAATAAACGCGTAGGTTAATTTCAGTTACATTTTAATATTTGCGTCGGAACAATTTTGTAAAGTCATGCGTCTGTAGCGTAAGCTAAAGGATTTTGTGACCGCGTAACCTATATACCTAAAATAGAGAGTTTGATTCTAAAAAAAGGATGGTGGTGCTTACCGGTGCGTGCTCACAAGTTAACTGACCGCCAGTAATTACGCAAAATCTATATATTAATACGTGAAGCAAAAACTTTGTATCCCTTTTTACGAAAATTGCGCGGACGGAGGAGTATGAAATTTTCTACACTTATAGAAAATATAGAGAAGAAGTGCACAAAGCTAATATTTTTTTTAAATAATGCCTAAAAGATACATTAAATCAATAAAGAAAACATTACACACACTACATACCATGTATTTGACGCACACACGCATGCATACTATTTATTTTTAAACTTTTGTTCTTGACGTCTGTGGTCAAATTGAGAATAGATTAAATATTGCTTGTCTTTATTAATATTCTTTTTATAGTGTAGCCTTGGCGAAATTTGTGATTATAGAAGTATAAAATAAAATCATAATAGTGTACAAACTTACAATTCCAATTAATTATAGTCGAATTTCGACTACTGCGGGACCTCTAGTATTTGTAATTGACTCTAAGACTCACAAAAATACCGATTTGTTTTATTAAATAAATTTAAAATTTCGGATGTTTTACAGTTTTACAGTTCGTCGTTACGACAGAAGTCGTCGTGGTCTAAAGGATAAGACGTCCGATGCTTTCGTGTTGAACGATGCACCGGTGTTCGAATTCCAGGCGGGTACCAATTTTTCTAATGAAATACGTACTCAACAAATGTTCACAATTGACTTCCACGGTAAAATAAAAATCAAGCCCGCAAAATTATAATTTGCGTAATTACTGGGGGTAGGTCCTCTTGTGAGTCCGCACGGGCTGCTACCACCACCCTGCCGATTTCTGCTATGAAGCAGTAATGCGTTTTGGTTTGAAGGGTGGGGCAGCCGTTGTAACTATACTTGAGACCTTAGAATTTATATCTCAAGGTGGGTGGCGCATTTACGTTCTAGATGTCGATGGGCTCCAGTAACCACTTCACACTAGGTGGGCTGTGAGCTCGTCCACCCATCTAAGCAATAAAAAAAAAAACACAAAACGGCAATTCCGTTGACCAATATCTAATTTGTTAAAACTGATTTATAATAAAATAAATATAATTTATTCGCGTTGCACGATTGAAATAATTTCAACCATTTCATTTGTATGCAATTTAGCTTAAAATTTTCCCGATCGCTTTTGTTCAAAGATTAAAATACAGATAAACGAAAACACATTTAAAACGCACGTGGCATTATTATCTCATATTTATGTAAATCGGGTCGTGCTCACTAACTTCTGTATTCATATAAAAGCTGGATTAGGCTACTCTATGATGTGCATTCCGAAATGTTTAAACTTTGGAGTGGATACGTCTAGACAGGATGGCATTAAGCTGTGTGTTTAGATAATGTTTTGTTCGGCTTTTCGGGTGAGCAGTATCAAGAATACATATTTTTTTGCTTATATGGGTGGATGAGCTCACAGTTCACCTGGTGTTAAATGGTTACTGTAACACAACGTAAATGCGCCACCCACCTTGAGATATAAGTTCTAAGGTCTCAAGTATAGTTACAACGGCTGCCCTGCCCTTCAAGCCGAAACACATTACTTCTTTACGGCAGAAATAGGTGGTGGTACCTATCCGTGAGGACCCACAAGACGTCATACCATCAGTAAAAAAATATTTTTTGGTAGACTAAAGGGGCTATTCCAACTTGGTCGGTTTGATAGGCGAGCTGACAGTATTAAGCTTGGGAGACTTTTCTAACACTGGCCCTAGCAAGAGCAGTACTGCGCTGAATCTACCACCGCATCGAAATCGCGACACACTGAGAAAATCCGACCAGAAACTTAGTGGTTTAAGCCCATTTCCACTTAAAAATAGCTGCTACCTAAACTTTCCTACAAAAAAATCTAATCAAAACAATAATTGGACTATTCTTTGTTGCAGGCACAACCAGTGAAACTAGACGCGCTGGAATAAATAACTTTCAAAAACAAAAAAAAACAAAAAAACACAAAAGTGAAAACAAAACAATGTGAAATAATGAATCGAGACACATGATTTCAACGATAAACTACACACAGTCACAGACGAATGTGAACATTCTGCACGTTGCGTACTCGTCGTATGGGAACGATATTGAAAATGTCACAGAGTACCGCACGAAGAGCGAGGCGGCCGTGGATCTCGACGATGCCTTCCGTAACGGGAGCCTCACTAACACGACCATCGGATACACGAACAACAACTTCACGGAATACGCTGAAATACCGCATTACATAAAGATAACTTCGATGACGTTCTGCATAGCGATCATGTGTTTAGGGGTCATTGGGAATGTGATGGTGCCAATCGTTATATTAAAAACGAAGGACATGCGGAATTCTACGAATATATTCCTTGTTAATTTGAGTATCGCTGACCTTATGGTGTTGCTTGTCTGCACTCCCACCGTGCTGGTCGAAGTCAATTCGAAGCCTGAAACCTGGGTTCTCGGGAAGGAGCTGTGTGAGTACATTTCTATATTTTTTTAATTAATACACTTTTAGATACTAGCTCGTTCGACAATGGCTAGCTGAATGCTGACAGCGAAACTAAAATAAATAATAGTTTAAAAATACTAACAAAATACGCTTTAAAGAAAATCCAACTAAAAATGGAAAATAAATGGGGTGCTTTTCAGGATATTATCAAAATAACCCTTCTACTCATATCTGTTCATAAAATATTTATAACTACTGATACCATGCTGCACCCTACGCTTTTTTTACAATAAAATCTATTTTCTTACACTATTTTTAATTCAAATTTATTTAAACTTATTTTCTATTTTTTAGTTGAATTTTGTATAAAAGTGTATTTTGTTCGTTTTTTTTAAACTATTATTTATTTTTCATTTTTTAGTTGAATTTAAATTTTTTCAATTTTTTTTAAATATTGAATTGTCGTCGGTCCTTAATAAGTATACCAAATTTCGAGTTAATCCGACGTTCTGAAGGGGGTCAAAATCAAGTTCAAAGATTCCGTTACATACTAACATACATACGTCTGAAGCTAATAAAAGCGTATTAAAAATAAACATAAAGTAATGTCTAGGTGCATTTAATGAAATATGCAATAAATAAATATTTATAAAAGCATGTCTACATATTAAAAGCAATCTCTAAAGTAAGAAACTTCAAATATGCAGCAAGTAATGAATGTCGAATTCTTCGTATGAGTGAATTTAATATTTAAACAGTTAATCTGTTGAATTATTAATAAAACATGTATGTCTTTATATCTTTATAATGTCTTTATAATGTTGAAAGCACTTAGCTTAAAATAAAAACGAACCTGATTTCTGCGCCTCTGTGAGTGTAGCTCGCTGTTTCTCCCGCGGCTTTTGTGATAAAGGTTATACCAGTTTCTTTTAAAAGCATATAAGTACTAGCTACGTCCATACTAAATTTTATATTAAAACATAAAAGCCAAAGACGATTTAGAAACTAACCAAGTGAGATACATTTTGATGAACATACATTATCTTTTATGTATATAGATTTCATATCAATTCGATCTATGGTTCAGAAGATAAAAATCACTGCCGTCAGCAGGCACTAAGGTAGCTTTCTTACTTTTCAACACAATTTTCAATGACTTCAAGAGGTCTGATCAACTGAAAATTTACACACGCATCAAGAACTAATGAGGACACAACAATTTTAACTTTGCTCCTATATCCTGATCAGTATAAACAGGATTACAAAAACAATGAAACTAATTGTTACTCCGGTTGCTATTTAAAGGGTGTTTTTTTTAGTTTTTGAATTACATTTATAACATTATCTACACTAATATATAAATCTACAGTGGTTTTTACAGATGTTCCGTTATCCTGTACCATGCATACGATTAACTTGAAACTTGGTATCCATGTAGAAAATACATGTACTTTTTTTTTCCTACCTAAGCTGATAGCCTTGAGAGGCTATTTCAGCGGAACTTTAACTAGTAGGTGAGCTCACGGGGCTCAAGCCTGAGGACGTTGCTAACACGAACCCTAGCAAGAGCCGTGCTTCGCAGAATCTACCACCGGATCGGAAACGGGACCCACTGAGAAGATCCGGCGAGAAACTCAGTGAGCTGTGTCTGAGGGTTAGTTTACTCGTCGAGCCCTTCGTCAACGTTAGTGGATCGGGAGGATCCTAAATGACGTGTTTGGGGCGACGTCGACTGCTTTCCATTCTTTCCGCAGGATCCGGAAAATGGATAGGCTAATTAATATTTATATGAGTGTTGGACTCCCTAATAATAATGACAATAAATAATAACGCTAATTTTAAATGCCCAGCGAAGCGGGCGAGTGCGGCTAGTTTTCACATATACGAGATATATACTAATCATCATCATCTTCAGACATTTGGTACCTACTACTGGGCATAGTCCTCCCCTTTTTGTGCCATATTGTTCGATCGCCCACCATTCTCATCTAAATCTGCCCACCGGTGGTCATATCACAATTCCACTACCTACATACAAAATTAATAACGGAATATTTCAATTTAAATTATCACCAATTTAAAGAATTTCGATCTAATTGAAAAAAATGCACGCATTTTAAAAATCGATAACAATGTAATAATTTTATTGACCTAATAAACTGAGCGGGATTGAACTCATAAATCATATTTTATTTTATTATAATAAAGTTATGGCATATCCAATTTTATACGGCCATGTTATGACAAGCTTTAATGGCGGTGAACGTCTTAAAAACCTTTATCATTGGTTTATGCAAATCATTGTCAATCCAGTAAATATAACAAGGAAGGATGTCATTATTTTAAATTGATATTGATATGAAATAAGGAAAGGTATTGATAATCGAAAATGAAAGGGGAAAATGAGGGGAGTGCTCTGAGGAATTGTTTGAGATGATACCATCATCTCGTTTTTACCATCGCACTTTCCGCCACCGGAGTAGGGTTCATCCATACTATCTGGAGCCAGTGCGTTCCGGCTTAGGAATGAGCTCCTCTGCACGGTGTTTCCCGAGCGCTATGACACGTTCTTCTTCAAACAAGGCTTGTGGAGAGTATTAAGCGGCAGGCAGCGACTCGGCTCTGCTTCTGGCATTGCTGAAGTCCATGGGCGACCGTAACCACTCACCATCAGGGGGGCCGTATGCGCGTCTGCCTATAGGGCAATAAAAAAAAAGATATGTGGTATCGTGGGACACCGGATAGGAACGAAGTTCCTTATTATAAAAATATTAATTTTAAGTTCTATTCGACCCCCCTCGACCGGGTATCCGTAAATGGATTCCCCAGCGTTAAAAAAAGGTATAAAGAAAATAATTATTCGGGTATACAATTTTTACTATGATTTTTTATTGATAAATAAAAAAAATAAAAAAAAACTACTTTACAAAGCTATAAGCTTTATTTTATTCACAATGATTTATAAAATATATAATATAATAAAAACATGTTATTTTTTGTACGTTATTACAAAGTTAAGTCGTACACTGTGTGCATTATTAATAAAAATCTTACGTTAAGGACCTTTTTTCCCGGTTAGGGTGCCCCTCCGCATCGTCCCATGAGGAACTTCGTCCCAAAAAAGAAATTAAAAATTATCCATTCGTTAGCTTAATTCTTTTAGATCGTGAATCATATTTGACTGCGGCTGTACGACCATAAGAGTCTAATTCTGATCATTCACGTTCAACTAAAATTGAAACCACTAACAGTTTTAAGTAAAGTGAAAAACTGTTGTGTGAATTGCCAAGCGGTGTGTCGGCGGCAGATCGCAAATTGTGGTAACGCGTGGTGTCTGTGTAAGCGTCGACTCCAGACGTTAAAAATTTGTTTCAATCATTTCGGACGAAATCAGTTGGCCTTATTAGGCTTATTAGACCGTAGCTAGGTCTACTAAACCAATGCAACGGCAACAAATTTGAATAAAATTAGATGTTTTAAACTATATTTTTCTTTTTCACCAAATCTTTTTAATAAAGTTATTTTGCAAGTTGATATTGTTTTTTGACGAAAAGTTAGAATTTTTATTAAATGAAATATCTTAAAATAATCTCTATATCGTAATACAGAAAATTAAGAGAATAAAATGAAACGAAAAAAATCTAAAGTGTCTTGTTAAATAAATAGATATATTACCTTTTCAAATCGAGAATACTATTACCGAATTATAATTGATTAATAAACGTCCAAGTATTTAAAGTTATTTATTTTTTCAAATCCAAAACTCCTTAACTAGCACCACACCCGATTCCGAGCCATTCTCAACACATGCTGACGTTGTGTGTAACGACGGGCATACAACTAAATATAGCCTTAACGCTTTCAGTTTAAAGTCTATTATTGCCCGAGTCGAGAGCACAGTTCCCTTGCCAGCTAACCACTGTTTGTGCCCTAATTGAGTGCAATAAAGTACGCGTGCGGAGATGAGAATGTACAACGCTGAAAACCTTTTACGAACGGGGTGGTAGGTCGGTTGATGAAATTTTAAATTTTATTACAAATTACTATACAGACCGCTATGCCTTTTCCGGGAAAACAATCACGGGTGTGGGCTCAAAGCGTGGGACGGGCCTAAAACAATTCGAACTTCGACGATTATTCATATTGTTGACATTAGTGATTCGGTGGACTGTGGAAGTGTTTTTTATTTATTTTTTATTTATTGCTTAGGTGGTTGGACGACGGCTACCTTAAGTGGTTTCTGGAGCCCATAGATATCTACAATGTAAACGCCGCCTACCTACCTACCTTGAGGTACAAGTTTTAAGGTCTCAGTATAGTTACAACGGCAGAAATAGGCAGGGTGGTAGTACCTACCCGTGCGGACTCACAAGAGTGCCTACCACCAGTAATTACGCAAATTATAATTTTATAATTTTGAAAGGCCTCCGGGCCACCAGTAATGTTTCAATAAAAAAAAAAAGAAAAAAAAGAGCTCCCCTCCAAAATGTTTCCCGGGCCCTATGACTTGTCTTTCTTCAAACTAGGCTTGTGGAGAGTATTCAACGGTAGGCAGCGGCTTGGCTTTACCCCTATCATTGCTGAAGTTCATGGGCGACAGTAACCACTCACCATCAGATAGACCGTATGCTCGACTGGCTACAAGGGCACTTAGTGGCTCTGACTATTGCGTCTAGGGTCGTGGGTTCTATTCCCACATGGGGCATTGTGTTTCATTACACACATTGTTTACTTTTTGTTTGGATGTTTATTATCTATATTTAAACGTATATAAGTATGTATGTCAGTCTCTGGTACCCGTAACACAGGGAATCCTAAATTGGGGCTGAATGACCGTGCGTGATTTATTCGTAATTATATCGAATTAAATATTCGTTGTCCATGCATACAGGAAAAGTTTTCGAAATTAAGTTTTACTAGAGGTCCCGCAGTAGTCGAAATTCGACTATAATTAATTGGAATTGTAAGTTTGTACACTATTATGATTGTATTTTATACTTCTTTAATCACAAATTTCGCCAAGAC